AGGACCTTGTAATTACTCTGTCACTACACCATGGTTTACAGGTGAGAACACTGAGGATGCTATTTGTCCAAAGCCACAATAATACCAGGGGACAATACTACTACTTACCTCAAGAAAATGTGGGTCTCACTGCAAAATGTAAATGTGGGATCCCTTTTTATTAAGAATTTCAAGATGATAGCAGCAGAGAATTAAACCAAGCACAGGCCCTTCTTAGCCTGGGGTCCTGGGTGACTTCACAGGGTGTACACCTGTGAGGCTGGGCCTGCCCAAGAGGTTGTATGTAGTAAGGACTAAATAAGGTAATATAATGATAAAGGAAAATACATACATAGCACTTGCTATGCGCTAGGTATTTTTGTAGGTGCTTTGCAAACAATAATTCACTGCATCTTCACAGAAACCTTATAAGCTAGGTACTTTAAAAAAAATCCCCATTTTACAGGTGAGAAAACAAAGGTACAGAAAGGTTAAATAACTTTCCCAAGGTCACAAAACTAATAAGCAGTGGAGCTGGGACTTAAACCCAGAAAGTCTGGGTACCATGGTGCTAGTACAGGTAAAGTACTTCACGTGTGGTCTGTGTGCACACTGCGGGAAAAGGTCTGCAAGTCTTATTGTTGGCTAGTGTCAAATCAAGATCCCCCGATACCATATGTACAATTAACAAATATGTTATATTCCCTGGTCACATAGGAACCAAACATTTCATTTTGAGAACATTCTGGTATGCTGTTAATTTTACTTACTCGTGAGACTGTCAAAAATTGTAAAAACATTTTTATAAATAAGAAAAAATTTCCTCTGAATTTATACCATACTTACTCCTTTAACATGTAACAGTGTCACTGAACTTTGGTATGCTTTGTAAAGGAAGAAATTACTAATTTAAAAATATGTTTAACCCACAACACATCTGGCTTAGGATATACTATCAAAATGGGAAGGAGTCACAAATCTACGATAGTCATTCAAATTTAAAAATAAATTTGAAAAAGACAGATCCCTCCAGTTTGGATAATTAAGTCATCTTAAGTTTATTATTGCAAATTTACTTAAAATAATTTTCAGTTATTTGGGAAACAAAAATGGAAGGAGAGCACTATATATAGTTTGACGTTACTACCTATCTTTATTAGATGAAAATGAAAAATTAATGCTAGTAGATATTTGGGAACCATCTAGAATTCTAATTCTAGAGATTTCTTTCTAAAAAGGATTACCATAATACTTAGCATTTAAAATGGTAACTGATAACAGTCATCCCATCTACCATCATCTACTATATCTAATTTGGATATTTCCATAATTTTAATCAAGAAAGAACATTAGATTGGAATCTTTGTAATTAAAGTTTTTAAAAACGAATGCAACAAGGTCAGGCACGGTGGCTCACACCTGTAATCCCAAAGCTTTGGGAGGCCCAGGCAGGAGGAGGATTGCTTGAACCCAGGAGTTCAAGACCAGCCTGGGCAAAATAATGGGACTCCCATCTCAATTTTTAAAAATTACTTGGGCATGGTGGCACACGTCCATAGTCTCATCTACTTGGGAGGTTGAGGTGGAAGGATCACTTGAGACCAAGAGTTAAATGCTGCAGTGAGCTATGATCGCACCACTGCACTCCGGCCTGGGTGACAGAGTGAGACCTTGTTTCAAACAACAATAACAACAAAAACCAGTACAATAAAAAGGTGCCCAGAAACTCTTAGTTTTCCCTGAAGGGCTCATAATGACCCTAACAAAGTAAAAGCTGCTTGTAATACCCCCCGTTTTCTGAGAAATTAGATTATAATCATTGGTGATACTAAGTGATTTCAGAAGTTATGAGTTCATAGGGAAGAAAAACCATAGTGCACTTTACAAAAATAAGGAAAATCCTCCAGGGTTTCCATCTACGAATTCCTTACTGAGTGTCTCAGTTGAGCCGCTAGTTTGATGTAGATAATCTGTTCAGTGCTGCCGAAAAGAACAGACTTTCTAAGCTGTATATACATGTACATTACAAGATTTTCAATGGAATGTTTTTGTAGTGAAATATTGAGAAACGTGTACTTCTGTTTGCTAAATGAACTTCTGTTCACTGTTACACGGATAGGTATCCCAAGTAAACAATCCTGTAGAAACAAGCCAAGGTCGCCCTCTGCTGGCAAATGCTCACTGTGCTCTCAACTCCTTCCACTATTTTGGGTGGAAATTTCTTTGAAATGTTTTCAAGTCATTGTCTTAAGGAATGGGGTGAAAGAGTCTTGAGTCACAACAAAAGAGTTTGGGGAAAACCAAGAGGGTTTCTGTGTGACACACTCAACAGGAATCTGCTTTGTTAATCCACTTTGGATGCCCCAAGTCCCGGTAAAGCCACACTTAATGTGTGCTTCTTTGCAACCAAGCTGTTCACAAAACTGTAAGCCAACATAGTACATCTCTTATTAAAAATTCAAAATGAAAAGTAACTCATGCTAAGAATATAGGCATGTTCAGTTTCCATTCACCTAGCAATTAAATAGAAACTGTACTTATTCATAAATATTCCCTGTGTAAAAATGGCAGAAAAGTTTACCAGTTTGAACAATAGTCACTACCAAAATTTAATTATTTTTCTATTGTTTAATTATTTTCACCTATATTGTATGGATCAATAATCATACAATCATACCCATGGACAAAATTTTACTGATCTCACAGGGCATGGTGGCTCACGCCTGTAATCCCAGCACTTTGGGAGGCCAAGGTGGGCAGATCACAAGGTCAGGAGTTCAAGACCAGCCTGACCAACATAGTGAAACCCCATCTCTACTAAAGATACAAAAATTAGCCAGGCGTGGTGGTGTGCACCTGTAATCCCAGCTACTGGGGAGGCTGAGTCAGGAGAATTGCTTGAGTCCTGGCGGTGGAGGTTGCAGTGAGCCGAGATTGTGCCACTGCACTCCAGCCTGGGCGACAGGGCGAGATTCCATCTAAAAAAAAAAAAAAAAAAAGACTGCTCTCCCTTTTTGTTTCTAGGAGGGAAAACATAAATCAGCATAATCTGCCACCTGTGGAAGTGTAGAGTTCGGTTTTGGGGCAGGCTGCTTGCATTCCAATTCTGCCTCTACTCATTGCCTCTATGGCTGGGACAATTTACAACCTGATCTCAGTTTCATCAACCATAAAATGGGAGTAACAACAATAATAATGACTTGGTAGAGTCATGGTGGGGATTAAATGAGATTATTCATGTAACAAGAGTCTTGGAATATTAGCTATAATATTTGGGCGAGCATACTGCTCCTTAGTGGTTCCACTGATGGTATATGCAAAAGCAGTTTGTCAACTATATAACCCTAGACAGCGGGAAGAGTTTATAGAGTATGCTGAATAACCAGGATTACAGAGGAGTCTGTATCATAATAGAGATTTCTGGAAGATACCTTGGGCATTGAACTATAAAATGCAACTAGTATTAATAATGAACACGTGTAAGATACTCTGCTTGGTGCTGCAAAGCATATACCATGCAAATACCATGGAAGTAGATACAAGTTTTAAATCTGGGAATCTAGACAAGACAAATACACTATTTAATGAGGCAGAATATGCCTTGAAATCCTGACAGAACTTTGAGAGGGCTTTTGAGAGTTTAAAGGAAAGATAGTAAGAGGAGTTCCATTGAAAAAAGGATAAGAAAAGGTAGTTGAAGAAGAAGCATTTCTCAGAAATGAGTCCAAAGCTTTGCTGGTAGGAGGGTCAGGCACAGGACAGATCTCATTGGACCTACTGTGTATCAGCTGTGTGAGCTCTGGTAAGTCACATCACCTCTGTCAACTTCACTTTCCATATCTATAAAATGCAGGTAATTGCAATACCTATCTTTTAGGGCTGTTCTGGAAACTACAGAAGATGGAGCATCTAAAGCACTTAGCATAGGCTGATGCTCAAAAGAGCTATTATTACCATCATCGTCTAGACTAGAGGTTCTCAATCTTGACTGCATCTTAGAATCACCGGGGGAGCTTTTAAAAAATATTAATTTCCTCTGTTCTAGCCCAGACCTACTAAATCAGAATCTCTAAGGGTGCAGTCTAAGCATCACAGTTTTTAAAAAGCTGCCCAGGATTCTAAATGATCTACAGCCTTGGTACGGAACTGTGGTTTGTGGCCCAGCAACCTCAGCTGGGGACTTGGTAGAAATGTGGATTCTCAGGCCCATCCTAGACCTACTGAATCTGCATTTTATAAGAAGATACCCCAGATCCTAAAGCTTCCTAAGGAGGCCAAGGCACGCAGACCACACTAAGTAGTGAAGGACAGGATCCATGGTACCTACGTAACCTCACGAAATCCCTTCCTTGAGGTCTTTTCTTTCACTTTCTTCTTCAGACACTCCTAAAAGTGGGGGTTGGGAGGAACCAACCAGCTCAAACATTGGAGTGGGCATGTGTGTGAGTAGTAAGAATCCCTTAACATTTCTACGGAATGTTCTATTAGTAAGAGTAGTTCACTTGTGATTTCACTTGACCCTAATTAGGAACAGCCCTGGCATCATTTTCCCCACCATGCAGCAGGAAACTGAGGCCCAAAGAGCCCCGAGGTGGGCTCAGGGTACCCCAGTGGGCAAACAGAGGCCAGGGCAGGAAACTCCCAGCCAATCTTGCCTCGTTCCGAGGCAGCATTAGAGCAGCCTCTCGGAGGATGGCCTTGGACTTGAATTGGCAGCAATCAGAATATTTTAGATGTTTATACATGATAAATGCAATAATTAATTCACAAGAGAAAACAGCTGGCTACCTTGCGCTAGCCCTAGTTACAGACTGATTGACTGATTTGAGACGGAGTTTCACTCTTGTTGCCCAGGCTGGAGTGCAATGGCATGGTCTTGGCTCACTGCAACCTCCGCCTCCTGGGTTCAAGCGATTCTCCTGCCTCAGCCTCCCAAGTAGCTGGGATTACAGGCACCCGCCACCATGCCCGGCTAATTTTTGTATTTTTAGTACTGACAGGGGCGAGGGGCGGTTCACGATATTGGCCAGGCTGGTCTCGAACTCCTGACCCCAGGTGATCAGTCCGCCTCGGCCTCTCAAAGTGCTGGGATTACAGGCGTGAGCCACCGCGCCCGACCAGTTGCGGATTTATAAAAGCAGTCGCTTACCAACTTGCAGCGGCTACACCAACCTTGGACCAATTCGCAAACTGCTGGTGTAAAGCGTTTTTGCGCATGGGCTGTAGCCTTGCGGAAAGGAGCCTTTTTCATCGACGATTTCCGGGCGACGCAGGAAGTGGCTCCAGGACGTACGCGCGTTGTTTCCGCGGTAGTCAGGGCAGTTTCTACCGCCGGCTTAAGGAGGTTTCGGGCCCCTGGGATTTCTGTCCACGCTCCTCGCCCTCGTCCTCCGAGCCGGAGCAGGTTCGCAACCTCCTCAGACCCTCCTGCTCCCGGCCGCCGCTTTCCGCCACGGCGAGATCCCCAGGTAGGCCCCGTGCCGCGCGCATCCCGTTGTTACCCGCCACCATGGCGCCCGCAGAGGCCGAGTTGCCTCCGGGGAGCGCGCTTCTGCGGGATGCTGGGGCGCGAGCGGGACTGTTGACTAAGCTTCGTTGCTGGATCCTGGAAGCGAGGTCAGAGCTGAAAGTGGCCTTAGGGGTCACCTAGGGTCTAATCCATCGTTTTTCTTGTGGGGGAGCTGAGGCCCTGGGAAGGGTCACATTGCGTTAATGCAGTGTCTGTCGCCTCCGCCCCTCCGCCTTTCACGTCTGACCTCTCGTCGGATACATGTCAGCTCTTCGGAGAAGCTTTCCCTGGCCGATTTGCAGAAGGGCATCCCCTTTTAGCCTCTTCCACGTCAACCTGCTTCATTTCTTTTGTAGCAGTTACCACTCTGAAACTAAGTCTGTTTCTGTCTTATCCCTCCAACTATTTATTGTATACGTATATAGGTGCAACTATACAGGCAGTACGTCTCCCCGCAAGTATTATTAAACACCAGCCGCCCTGGGCCAGGCACTTACTGTGGGACCGAGCATGCATTAAGGGAAGAATCCAGGCAAGTGGCTGCCCCCTTGGAGCCTGCATTCTGGTGGGGAAGAGATTGAGTATAAACAAGAAATTCCAGGTTATGACTGGTGCTGTGAAGAAAGCAAGGGGATGTGATGGAAGTTTAGATATGTTAAAGTTAGCAGAGAAGCCTCTGAGGAGGTAATTAAAGAATACGTGTGACAGCTTTTTTGAAGTATAACTTACATACCTTTCAGCCATTTAAAGTGTACATTGTGAGTTTGGAAATTTTATGCAGTTGCATAAACATCACAACTTCAAATTTGGGACATTTTCATGACCCCAAAAAGTTCGGAGGAGGCAACTTTTGCACTGGGATGTGAAGATTAAAACGAAGGTAGCTGTGGGGAAGGGGAAACAAACCATCCCAGGCTGAAGAAACAGCACTAGGTTTGCTCCAAGGCAGGGATGAACTTGCTGTGTTCAGGAGAGAAAGGAAGCCAGCAGAGCTAGGAGGGCTGGGGTGCAGCAAGGCAGTAGAGAGCGGGAAGAAATGATTAGGTGGGTCCCACAGACGCCTGTGCCTTCTGAACTTTGGAAGTTTCCCAGTGGTCAGCATAAGGTGTGGTCCACACTGACTAACACGAACGACTCTTACCTACCATGTTCTTTTCCCTAAGTTCATCCCTAATGGCAGAGATGTTCTCTCCCAGCTTGAAGGTTGAGGTAGAGGAATAGAGTGAAAGTAACATTTATTAAGAACCTATAGCGTTTTAGGCACTGTGTGTGTGGCTTCAGTTAGTTCTCATAACTCTGAAGTAGATATTAGTGTCTCTGTTTTACAGATGAGAAAATCAAGGTTAAACGACCTGTCCAAAGCCATGTAGCCAGCACCTGGACTGATTGCAGAAGCCTTGTTTTGCCTTTGTCCGTTCATACAGTTAACTGGTGTTTCAAGTACCTCTACGTTTGAGGGCAGAAATGTGGTCGGCAAGCACCACATCCCCTCACTTTCACTAAAACATACATGTGCTTGTAGCTGTTGCTCTCACCTTTTGTTCTGCACTTATTTTTCATGAAGCTGAGGAAACTCAAATGCCTTCCCCAGATTCCTTGCAGTTTCTCCGTTCTATGTTGTCTTGTTAGCAAGGATGTCACTCAGCCATTTGTCTCCCTTTGGAGAAGTGACTTGTATGGAGGACTTCTCAGTGTAACGGGTAGCAGGATTGAAATGTGGCTTCAGTGTATGTAACTTCTCGGGGAGTTGGAAGAAAGAAAGGAAAAGTCGTTTATTGTACCCGCTATGAACTAGACACTGCATTTTCTACATAATCTGATTTGATCCCCAGACCAGCCCTGGAGAAGGTGTTCATGTTCTCTATGTTTGCAGAGCAGGAAGATGAAGACTGGTGAGATCAGAGTCCCAACTCCTGAGTGGCAGAGGCCCTGGCCAAACCCTGGTGGGCCTGTTAGATTATGATACCCAGGAAAAAACCCAGGGTGGGAGAGGTTCTTGCTGGGTAAATGTCCAGAACACGATGCCAGACCTTTTTAAAAATTTTACCAAGAAATTGCTGATTTGCTGCCGGGACTGGTTGTTCTAGGTAGTTTCATGCAGATACTGACGTAAACCAGAATTCAGAAATTAGTAAGAAAGTGAATGCCCACTAGGTGGAAACCTGAAAGCACGAGGACCTGCCATCTTGTTTACTGTTGTATTCCTGATGGGCAGCTCAGTGTCTCTATGTAAAAAATGAGTGAATGTATTTTCTAGCTGGTGACTACAAAATAATCTGCAATGTATCCATATTGGTTTATTAATGGTAACAAATGAACCGTACTAATATGAGGTAATAGGGGAAACTGGATATGGAGTGTATGGGAATTCTATCTTTACTATTTCTGGAGACCTAAAACTACTCTAAAATAGAAGGTTTATTTTTTGAAAGCGCTCTGCTCATTGCATGTATAAATCTTGTCTGAAAAGTGAACCCTGGCCTCAAGCCACTTTGAGTATTTCTCTTCTACCAGTTAATTATCTTACCATTGCCTCTCAGTGATATTAAGAGAAAACTCACCCTTAACATTTTTCATTATTTTTTAGGGTCAAAATGAGCCTGTTTGGAACAACCTCAGGTTTTGGAACCAGTGGGACCAGCATGTTTGGCAGCGCAACCACAGATAATCACAACCCTATGAAGGTACCACGAAAAGCTTCCTGGGGCTTGTAGGAAGAGTTTGGCCAGAGTTTCTCCCATCAAGGACAGAACCTGAGATGACTTGGGAGCCTCCTTTGGGCCAAAAGCTTTGAAAGTTTGTCTAACTCATCTTTCTCAAACACTGGAGCACAGAAAATTGTCCCCTCTACTAGTGTCCTGTTCTTCCTGGCCTGCCAGGTCTCCAGAATCACCGAAGGTGCAGATTCCCAGGGCCTGGCCCAGGACTGTTGACTCAGAATTCCCATGGTTGGGAAGAAGGGAGGGCAGGTGAAATCTAGCACTGTGGGGCCAGAGTGAACTGGTCATTTAGAAAACGAGGCCATGGGCATTTCATCAGCAGCTGCTGCTGCTAGTCCTGGTGGTGCTGGTGCTTTCTCCAGCTTATTTTTTACTCCTCTTTTTGATCATAGTAAGGAAAGGTCTAATTCAGTTAGTTCTTGAGCACAAGGGAAGGCCACCGTGAGGTAATTAGTGAGAAAGAAAACCATTTTGAATTAAGTTGTGAGTATGCGTACATTTTAACATTGACTTTTTTCCCCTAGGATATTGAAGTAACATCATCTCCTGATGATAGCATTGGTTGTCTATCTTTTAGCCCACCAACGTTGCCGGGGAACTTTCTTATTGCAGGATCATGGGCTAATGATGTAAGTGCTCCTTAAATACGTGTTCTATAAATCATCTCTCTTTGTATGGGCAAGGTTAGCTTTAGCTCCGTTGTTTCCCAAGTAAATGAATCAGTTAGACTTATTTATGGCCTTTTTTTAAGAAATCAATTTGGGGGTGTGAACCCTTCTGAATGGCAGACATTATTTGTTCTTACACTGGTTTTTATTAGGAAAGCACAAAAATGTATTGCTCGAAATTTTCTACTGTAGTTCAATCTCTTGAAGTTTATTCCTAAATAAAATGTCATATTTGTCCAGAGTGAACATTATACCCAGTGGCACACACCAACAAATTCCCCTTCTTGGCATCCTGACAGTGTTCCTCAGGCATGTGTTAAACTTTTTCAACATTAAATAATAGCACAGATCTGCCTAAATACTTACTTATCGTGTACAAAAAGACAAAAAATTGCAATTTGCTAAAAGAAAGAAAACTCTGGTAGAAAAATAAGCAAAGGGTGTAAAGAGGGGCTTCACAAAAGTAAGAATAAACCTGAACCATTCATCCATACTTGTAGTCAGAAAAATGCAAATTTAAGACTCTTTTTTCTATTAAGTTAACAAAATTAAAAGTTTAAAAGAATAATAATGCCAGCAAGGATAAGCTGAAACCCTACATGTACGACTGGTAGGTATGTAAGTTGGCAGAGCTTTTCCACAGGATAATTGGCAATAGTTACCAAAAATCCTTAAGCTTATACCCTTTATCTCATTGATACCCTTCTGGGACTTGAGTAGGAAACCTGATAATGTGCTTCATTTGCGTTGTCTAAATTAACCTTTATAACAGCCAAAGCACTGTGAACTTGGTCTCTATTTTATGGATCAGGATGCTGAGCTTAGGGAAGTAGAATAACTGGCCTCGGGTTGCGTATCTGAGTAAGTGGCAAAGCCAGAGGCTGCAGACGCACAGTAAGGCTCAGGGCCACGCTTCTAGTTAGCCAGTGCCTGGTACTGCCTCTCAAAAAACCATAATGCTAGTGAAAATTTTGAAAATGTTAATATCCAATAGTAATGGCACTTTATGGTGTGTTTGTATGATGGAATACCATTGTACGTTTTTGGAAAAGTTTTCAAACTGTAGCCTACAGCACGGGCAGCAGGGATTAGGAGAACAGGAGGAAAGATGGTAGTCAAGGTTGAGCAAGCTTGCGTTCTACATGTAATTTCTAGAAAGATTTCAGATGATTTGCTGCTTCAAAAAAAGGATGTTTAAGGTTGAACAGGCTGGTGATGCAGGAGGAAAGCTGTAGCTGCAAAAGCAAAGATACTGTGTGATCTAGTGTCTTCCAGAAAATATGTGTACATGGAAAGAAGACTAAGAGCACACAGAACCATTAGCTGTGGTTGTGTGTGGTGTGATTAGGGTGATTTTTATTTTTTTGCCATATTTACAAAATCTCTAAAATGTATTACTTTTTTTAACGGAGGGGAGATTATATAAAAAAGTATTCAGAAAAGAGGTAAGTTTCTACTTTGGTCTTACCATTCAGAGAATGGTAATGGGTAAGTGATATTCTACTTTAGAAGACATGTCTCATAGATGCAGTGAGAAAATTATCTGCAATTTTATGTGTAAGCAATAGAATTTGTTTATTTTAATAGCTTAGGCATAAGAAAACAGTTTTCACAGATATTTTAATTCCTTTGTTCTTGAAGTTAGATAATTAGGTTGCTATGAGAAGTCTATGTATGGTTAAGGTGTACCCCATTAGTTTTTAGGTGTTAAATGCAAGCAATACATTGTAAATTGCTTTGTTTGCGTTGAATTTTTTTGTTACTACAGGTTCGCTGCTGGGAAGTTCAAGACAGTGGACAGACCATTCCAAAAGCCCAGCAGATGCACACTGGGCCTGTGCTGGATGTCTGCTGGAGTGATGTACGTTCCCTTCCGTTTCTTATGTACTCTTTTACTTAAAGTACAGAATAACTGAGAATATTTAATAATCCAAACACAAATAGCACATACGTGTTCATATTGTAAGAATTCTAAGTTTCTGAACATAAATATAGTCGTTTGTTAATGTTCTTAATGTTGGCTTTAGTTAGCCACTTTCTTTGAAAGCTTTTCTTGTGTTAAATTTTGTGTGTGTGATTTAGGAGAGCTGAATGATTAAGTGGTATCTACAAAGAAGCCAGCAGGGAAGGTGAAACACCTGTGGTGAGCCGCAGTGGGTGGGGCTCCTGGAGCACAGCATGCGCTGCAGCTGTAGAGGGTCTTCCACCTGGCAGAGGGGAGCCAAGGGATGAACAGCTGTAGATGGGCCTTGGCCTGGCGAGGGGAGCCAGGGGTTGAACACCCCAGCCTCTCTCCTCTTCTCCTGCCATTGCTCCTGGTGGCTGAACCCAAAAGTAGTGCGAATGTTAAGGGGCCTGGTGACAGGCAGACACACTGCAGTGCTGAAGAAGCTAAGCCTTGAGGACCCTTTCGAGGCCTTGTACCTGTTCGTTTAGTCAGGTTTATTGAGTCTGATTTGCCTGCTGTAAAATTGAACCTTTTTGGTGTACAGCTCTGTGAGTGTTAAGAAATGCATAGAGTTGTGTTCAAAATATAGAAAAGATCCATCGGCCTCCAGATTCTCATCAAATTCTTCCCAACTCCCAGCCCCTGGAAACCACTGATCTGTTTTGTTTTGTTTTGTTTTTTGTCCCTATACTTTTGCCTTTACAGGAATGTCATCTCAGTGAAATCCTGTAGGGTGCAACCTTTGCACTCAGCATGTTGCATTAACGTATGGTGATTGTTTTGTCAGATATATTTCCTATGTTTGGGGTGGGATGCTGGAAATTAGGACAGTCATTGAGATATATCATCTGCAAAATGCTAATGTAAGTGGTAGGAGTTTCTCATAAAAGATGTACAAGTTGGTCGTAGTGGTATTGGGGGTATGCCGTTCGAATTCGTAAGAAGAGAGTGGTTAGAAGGGTCTTGATAATGAAATTTGTGATACAGAGTTCTGGTGGATATACAGTGTGTAGTGCTCCTAGGAAAACAGTAGTTAGAGCATTTATTATGATAATATTCATATATTCTATAAAGAAGATGGCAAATGAGCCTGCGGCATATTTGATGTTGAAGCCTGAGGCTAACTCTGACTCTACTTTTGTTAGATCAAAAGGGGCTCGGTTAGTTTCTGCTAGTGTGGAGATAAATCATATTATGGCTGGGGGCCGTGATGGTTGGAGTCAGAGGAATTCTTGTGATGAGTATGTATAAGTTAAATGAGCTGCTTATCAGTAGAACTGATAGCAGGATAATAGCTAGGGTGACTTCATATGAAATCGTCTGGGCCACAGCTCATAGTGCGCTGATTAGTGCATATCTTGAATTAGATGCTCATCTGATCATAGAATAGACGGCTAGGCTTGATGTGGCTAGTATAAATAGGAGGCCTACATTAAAATTAGAGGATCTGGTATAGGGAGGGGGTTTCATAAGAGGAGAGCGATGGAGAGGGCTAGGGTTGGAGCAGTAATATAAAGGGTATTGATAGTAGATGGTAAGGGCCGCCAGGGTTCTTTGGTGAAAAGTTTTATTGCATCAGCGAATGGTTGAAGCAGTGTGTAGGGTCCTACAATGTTGAGTCCTTCACGTAGTGGATATAGCCTAAGATTTTTCATTCGATGAGTGTAAGGAACGCTATCGCGATAAGAGTGGAGATGTTAGGAGCAGGAGAAGGTTAATTATAGGCATGTTGTTAAGAAGAGGAATTGAACCTCTGATTATAAAGTGTTTTATGCAGTTGCCAGGCTCTGCCATCTTAACAAACCCTACTCTTGGGTATAGTGTGTGATGATTTATTAGATTGAGATAGCATCATCTGTGGAGTGAGGGCACATTATGAAGTGGGCCCTATTTCTCTTGTCCTTTCTTACTAGGAGGAATGTTAAATAGGTAGAAACAGACCTGGATTACTCCAGTCTGAACTCAGATCACACAGGACTTTAATCATTGAACAAACGAACCCTTAATAGTGGCTACACCATTAGGATGTTCTGATCCAACATCGAGGTCGTAAACCCTATTGTCGATATGGACTCTAGAATAGGATTGCACTGTTATCCCTAGGATAACTTACTCTGTTGATCAAATTATTGGCTCAGTGTGTAATAACTCACTTAGACTAGTGTGGTCTTAGTTTAGGTTGTTAGGAGATTGAATTATGTTCCGAGGTCACCCCAACCAAAATTTTTAATGCAGGGATAGGAGGCTAGGGCCTGTAGGCTTGTTGGAGTTTTTATTTGCATTGATGAGTTAAAGCTCCGTAAGGTCTTCTCGTCTTACTTGTTTATATCCGCCTCTTCACGGATAGGTCAAGTTCACTGGTTGAAAGTAAGAGACAGCTGAACTCTCGTGTGGCCATTCATACAAGTCCCTATTTAGGGAACAAGTGATGATGCTGCCTTTGCATGGTCAGGATACCACGACCGTTGAACATATGTCACTGGGCAGACCGTGCCTCTGATACTGGTAATGCTAGACGTGATGTTTTTGGTAAACAGGCAGGGTAGGATTTGCCAAGTTCCTTTTACTTTTTGTAATGTTTCCTTAGAGCATGCCTGTGTTGGGTTAACAGTGCAAATAATAGGTGTTTATTATATCATTTATTAGTATTGGGCTGTTAACTGTCAGTGGGTTACTCCGGTCTGATGTAAGCTTATGCAATGGAGAATGCCTTCATGTTACTTATATTAACGTTGTTGCTTCTATTAAGTAATAGTTTAGTCCGATGTGATGTTAAGAGTTCAGTAGACTGGTTAGAATTTAAGATAGTTAGATACTGAGCTTAAATTCTTTCTTAATTAGTGGCTGCTTTTGGGCCAACTGTGGTGGTAATGTTTTTTACTCTCTGTAGGAAGAGTCTAAAGAGCCGTCTCTCTCTAGACTAACAAACTTACAGGGAGATTAAGTAATTCCATGGGTAAGTTTAAAGTTGAACTGAGACAGCCAGCTATCACCAGGCTCGGCAGGCTTGTCACTGCTACTCATGAATCTTCCCGCTATTTTGCCACATAGGTGAGTGTGCTCTTTCAGGTATTCTTGGGTAGCTCGTCTGGTTTTAGGGGACTTGGCCATTGTTCTCTATGTAAAGTTATTTCTAGTTAATGCATTATGCAGAAGGTATAAGGGCTTGTCTTTGCTTTTTATTCCTTGATATAGTTCTTTCATCTTTCCCTTACGGTACTGTCTATTGCACCAGGATAGAAATTTCACCTATACTTTTGTTTAAGGTAAATAGTTTGATTAAGAGAGTTTGATAATATTTTTCGCGAGGTTTGGGGCTAGAGTTGGCTCAGAGTGGTCAGGTCATGATGAAATCTTCTGGGTGTAAGCCGGATGCTTTGGGTTAAGCTACACTTTGGCTTGTCCAAGCGCACTTTCCAGTATGCTTACCATGTTACAACTTATCTCCTCTATACCTGTGTAGAAAATTAACAGTAATAGTGATTTCTAGAGTAGTATTTGAGGAGGATAATGGGTTTTGTGTGCGTGCTTCATGGCCTTATTCGATCAAACACTGCTCTTGGTTTACTGCTCAATCCTCTTTAAGCCCTTAGATTTCATAAAGGCTGTCGTGAGATTTTCTGGACATAGAAAATGTTGCCTATTTCTTGCCACCTCATGGGCTACACCTTGACCCAACGTTTTTATGTGTGTACTTGTGCTTACTCTATAACCTTTTTTAGGGTGTGCTGCAGATGGCGGCATATAGGCCGGGGGCAAGAGATGGTGAGGTGTATCGGGGTTTATCAATTATAGAACAGGCTTCTCTGGAGGGATATAAAGCACTGCCAAATCCTTTGAGTTTTAAGCTGTTGCTTGTACTACTCTGGCGAATGGTTTTGTTAATGTAACTATTAGGGTTTAGAGCTAAGCATAGTGGGGTGTCTAATCCCAGTTCTTGTCTTAGCTGCTGTGTCTTCAGGGTATTAAAGCTACTTTTGTAGTATATTTTATTTCAACTGGAGTTTTTTACACCTTAGATGGAGTTTAGCTTTATTGAGGGCAGACCTTAAACACTCTTTACGCCAAGTTCTATTAGCTTGGGTTAACTCTATGGCCACAGTGGCTGGCACGAAATTAATCAACCCTAAATATTAGTATAGCTTAGTTAAACTTCTGTTTATTACTAGATTTAACACTACTGTTTCCTGTGGGGGTGTGGTTGAGCCAAGTGTTTTGAGCTGCATTTGTGTGTGCGTGCTTGATACCTGCTCCTTTTGATCCGGGTGATCTAGAGGGCGTTTTCACTGGGGTAGGGATGCTTGCATGTGTAATCTTACAAATAACTAATAAAAAGGCCAGGACCAAACCTATCTGTTTATGGGGTTGTGTGGACCCATCTAGACATTTTCAGTGTCTGGCTTTGAGTGGTTAAGCTACATTAACGCATAGAATACTTAAGTGGAAAATTAAAGTATGAGAAAGAAAGAAAGAAATAGTTGTTTACAGTTCTGGAAGTTCAGGGTCTTTAAAGGTGAATTGGCAGAGGTTTGGCTAAGAAGGTTATTCATAATTAGAGCATGGTTGACTTAGGGTTATGGTATATTGGGGCAGCACTTTCAGAGGGCTATGCTCAAGGCATTATATTGGTATTAAGGCAGAAGTTTAGTTAATATATTATACATAATGGAGGATTTATTTGGTAGGGGGGTCTTAAGATTTTTTAGAAAATTACATCAATCGAGGGGTAGCTGTTGGGGTGTTTGTGGTTAAAATATGTCTGGGTTCTGACTGGGTTGCATTTTAGTCTCTTATGTTTGGGGTTTGGCAAAGGTGTGTTTACCCAGGCTGATAGTAAAGTCAAATTAGGGGAGGGCTGCAGATTTAATCGGAAATAGTTCTTGAAATTGAGCGTATGTGCAAGCGTGAGCGTCTGTTGATTAATTGTTATATCCTTCAACCAGAATTAACACCTTATGGTTGTGATGTCAGTCTGGAATATTCAGTATAAGTTCAACTACAATGGGTTTGGCAGGAATCAGGCTCTTGCCATGCTGAGTCACAGCACCCCCAAAGTTAAATACCAAATACATGATAGTGCTCCCGTGACTGGCTAATAGGGTGGCCTTTAGTCCATCAGGATGCCTTATTTAAAGGGAACATGTGGGCCATCTTAATTTTATGGCCATACGTTAATGCAGGGGTCCCCAGCCCCCAGGCTGTGGACCAGAACAGGTCCATGGCCTGTTAGGAACTAAGCTGCGCAGCAGGAGGTGAATGGTGGGCCAGTGAGCCTTAACTCCCTGAGCTCCGCCACCTGTCAGATCAGCGGCGGCATTAGATTGTCATAGGAGCTCGAGCCCTGTTGTGAACTGCGCATGTGAGGGATCTAGGTTGTGTCTTCCTTATGAGAATCTAATGCCTGATGATCTGAGGTGGAACAGTTTTATCCTGAAACCACACCCTCACCCCACCCCAGTCTGGAAAAATTGTCTTCCATGAAACCGGTCCCTGGTGCCACAAAGGTTGAAGACTGCTGCTTTAATGTGATCTTATTTATCTCATATATAAGAAATAATTCTGTGTATAAACATTTTGACATAGTTTAGGGGCCACAGTTGCTCCCATTTCATTCATTAGCAAGGATAGGCTTCTCTAAGGCATTTTTATCATCTGTAAAATGTCTTCCTGACATACCTGATCAAAGATATGACACTACATTAATAGATACATGAAAAGTTTGAAAAGTGAAGCATTCATTTCATATGCAACTTATTTTTAGTTTACGCATGGAAAAGTAGCAGCATGAGTAGATTTGAAACTTTTCTAATGTATTTTGCCTGTCTTTACTGATTGGGCAACGGGTCAGAATTAGAAAGTTTCTCATAAAGTATGGCAAGAAATAGAACTAACTGATGCAGGAATCCTTTTGCTCAAATGTTATCTAATGGCTATTGGAATTTATAAAACTGAATCTAAGTTTCATACCATCTAGTGGGAGGATCAGACATGGGAATGAGAGTTGTACGTTCTGAGGGAGGTAAGATGAACTGGTGCCGGGTGGGAAAAAGAATATAGAAGGCAACTGTAAAGTTTGGAAAGGCTTCTGTGAATGCTTTATAGAAAACAAGAATAGAGCTTTTTTTTTTTTTTTGCTTTTTTTTTACTGTTGCTCTGTCACCCAGGAATGCAATGGTGCGATCTCAGCTCACTGCAGCCTTCGCCTCCTGGGTTCAAGTGATTATCCTGCCTCAGCCTCCCAAGTAGCTGGGATTACAGGTGCCCACCTCCACACCCAGCTAATTTTTGTATTTTTAGTAGAGACGGGGTTTTGCCATGTTGCCGAGGCTGGTCTCGAACTGCTGAGCTCAAAGTGATCCACCTGCCTCGGCCTCCCCCAAGTTCTGGGATTACAGACATGAGCCACCACGCCTTGCCGGTAGAGCTGATTCTTGAAAAGTAAACTACATGCCTATAGCTTTTTAAGCATTGTCTCATCCAGTTGAGGCCTGGGTTCAAATTTCAGCTCTGTCTCTTCCAGGCTTTTGACTTTGCCAAGTTGTTTAATCTTTCTAAATTTGTTCTCTTGTTTGGAAAGACAGGGTTGTTGCCAGGCTGGAATGCGGTGGTGTCATCATGGATCACTGCAGCCTTGATCCTGGGATCAAGTGATCCTCCTGCCTCAGTCTCTGAAATAGCTGGGACTACAGGTGTGCACCACCATACCCGGCTTATTTTTCTATTTTTTGTAGAGATGGGGTCTCCTTATATTGCCCAAACTGGTCTCAGACTCCTGGCCTCAAGCTATCCTTCCTCCCAAGCCAAACTTGGTAAAGTTGAATCTTTGGTACTTTAAGGACATGGTTCAAACTCTGTGGCTGAAGCAGGTAGACTTAGAACAGCTGGTGGAGCATACACACATACTCTTTCTCTCCCCAGTGCTTTGCTGGATTCTCCTTTATGTCTGCACGTGTCCACTGAGATTGGCATGCTCTGCTCCACAATGCTGATGACATGTGGTGGGGCTGGTGTTATGAGATTGAGAGGCCAGTGTTCACTTGGATTCAGGGCAGCCCTCTCCATACACTCATACCTTTCCTTTGCCGTGTTTTCAAGGATTTGTAGAATTACAACCTCATTAAAAGCATGAGGAGCAAGTTTTATCTCTTCTTTCAAATGAAGTCACTTCAGTGGAACAAGTTTTTGCTAGAGGAGAATGGTGGTCAATTTTTGAGCTCTGAAACCAAAAATGAAATAAATAGACTAGGCCAAGGTTCAGCAAACTATGGCCCATGAGTCAAACCTGACCCACTGACTATTTTTGTAAATAAAGTTTTATTAGAATGCAGCCACACACTCGTTGATTGACATAATATGTCTGGCTGCTTTCAAGCTGCAGTGACAGAGAAAACCTACTTTGAGTTCTTTGTGTGGATATTGTGAAACCATCAGACAGTGACCACTAATTTTTAAATCTATTTGACAGGTTAGATAGGACCAGTGACTGTTGTAAATTGGCATAGCTTTATTGCATGTACTGCGAAGTGTTATTAGATAGGGACTGAACAAAAGTAATAGTGATTATAGAGTTATGTGTTTTATATAGAGAGAGAAAGACAAATGTAACAAAATGTTTACAATTGGTGAATCTGTGTGAAGTGCTTATGGGTATTTTTTGTATTTTTGCAACTTTTCTGAAGGCTTAAGATTTATCAAAATAAGAAAAAATGTTTAAAGTGGCCCATGGTTGCTGCTGACAGGAGACCTGGGATCAGGGACAAGAGAGTTTGTTTTCACTAGTTTGTGATTTCTGATTTTTAAAATCCTGTTTGTATGTTCTCGCTTAGAAAAGTAAGTCAATAATGAAATAGATTAAAATGAGTTTTTTGTATGACACTGTAGTTTGCAGTACGCTGGTCCCCAAACAATTGGAAAAATAAAGATTGCCAAAGTTTGCCTCAATATATTCAACTTAGTATCTAAATGTATATAGAGATTTAATTTTCCTTAAAATGCAAAATTTTCTTCATTTTATTTTAGGATGGTAGCAAAGTGTTTACGGCATCGTGTGATAAAACTGCCAAAATGTGGGACCTCAGCAGTAACCAAGCGATACAGATCGCACAGGTAACAGAAGCCTCTGCAGAAAGGCTGGGCACAACTGGTACCCAGGACTCTCATGGCTCTTTAAGTGAAATAATTATTATAATTATAATAAAAGGTGCAGTTAGACTCTGTCAAATCAATTAGACAATATAGCAGAAACGTCTTGAGCACAGAAATAACAATTTTATAACCATTCTCATTCTTAACTAGTGTTCACAGATTGTCTTGTCATGAGTCTTCATATATGTATGGATAGAGTCATAAGGAGTTAGCGACATTAAAATATATGAAAGATAGGTCATAGGTGATCCTTGACATTCACAGGTTGGACGTTTTGACCTCATGCATGGCTGGTCTTCTGCCAACTGCATTTGTTCACTTACTCGTTCAGCAAGTGTTCTCTGTCTAGGGGCCAGTAATAGAGCAGCGAGTAAGAGGGGCGTTTCCCCACACATGTGGAACTTTTACCATTACTCAGGGGCCACTGGCAGGTACTGTGTGAAGAATGCCAAGGGTAGAAGTAATGAAGATAAGAGAACCTAGAACCAGAGGGTCCAGCCTGCTAAGGGGGCTTCAGGAAGAGCACAATGTTGAAACATTTTCAGGAAGGCGCTGCGTACTCAGGTCACGGTGCTGCGTACTAGAAACATCTCCTTGATCTCTTAATTCATGTCACCTTAGTGAGTAAAACTGGTGGAATCCCCTACTTGTTATTTCTGAATATCTCCCTAAGGAGGAGCTTACTTTCACTCGCACATATGTCTTATGAGTGAAAAAATTAAAGTTTGCTGGAATGGAAGGTAGATGTATGTTCTTGTGTTAAACTGACTGTTTTGATCAGGAGTGTATTAGTCCCTTCCTGCATTGCTGTAAAGAAATTCCTGAGACTGGGTAATTTATAGAGAGAAGAGATTTAGTTTGCTCATGTTCTGCGGGTTGTATGAGCATGGTGCCGGCATCTGCTCGGCTTCTGGGGAGTCTCAAGGGAGCTTTTATTCATGGCGGAAGGTGAAGCAGGAGCAGGCACATCACATGGCAAAAGTAGGAGAGACAGCTGTGGGCGAGAGGAGATGCCACACCTTACAACAGCCAGATGTTGTGAGAACTCACTATCGTGAGGACTGCACTAAGACAGGAGGGATCCGCCCCCATGACCCAGACATCTCCCACCAGGCCCCACCTTCAACACTGGGGATTACATCTCAACATGGGATTTAGTGGGGACATGCAAACTACGTCAGTGAGGAAAGATTGGTAAAATGCTAAATACCTTTGATTTTTATTTGCTATGACCTCAGTATTTAAATTAGTTTCTTCCCTTTGAATTGCCACAACTAAAGCCATTCAGCATTCTTACATTTACCTTGGCCTGTTTTGTTTTTGTCTTGTTGAAAGCATGATGCTCCTGTTAAAACCATCCATTGGATCAAAGCTCCAAACTACAGCTGTGTGATGACTGGGAGCTGGGATAAGACTTTAAAGGTATAATGTGCAATTGAGGCATTGTTTGGCCCCGTCAGGATTGTCGTTTATTCTTGCACCATTTTGACTTCTACTCTGAATGGTCACATACTGGCTTCTCTTTTTTGCTTTTAGTTTTGGGATACTCGATCCTCAAATCCTATGATGGTTTTGCAACTCCCTGAAAGGTGTTACTGTGCTGATGTGGTAAGAGATTTTAACTTAACATGTATTTACTTTTAAAAAAACAAAATAAGTATTTCTCACCTTGTGGTATCTTGCAGTTAGCGGGTAATGTAAAAATCCTGCCGACTTTAGTAATAGATATAAAGGATAGAGTTCAGATTGCCTCAGTCGCCTTCAATTGGGAGATTTTTGTACTGCGTTTCTTTTAGAAGTACTTAATACTGGATGTCAAATTTTCCTGCCACTTGTTTGAACATATGCAGCTAGCTACATGCCATCTCTAGTGTGACATCTATCATGTCCTTTCCATGGCAGTAGGAAAACTTGCAGTAACTTTGTGAGGTGGTACCAGGTCTTTGGGGACTGTCTCTGAGTGGGATAGAATTGAACTTTCTCGGCCAGGCACCGTAGCTCATGCCTATAATCCCAGCACTTTGGGAGGCCAAGGTGGGTGGATTGCTTGAGGTCAGGAGTTTGAGGCCACCCTGGCCAACATGGTGAAACCCCATCTAAAATACAAAAATTACCAAAAAAAAAACCAAAAATACAAACTCCTCTAAAAATACAAAAATTAGCCGGGCATGGTGGCACATGTGTGTAATCCCAGCTATTTGGGAGGCTGAGGCATGAGAATTGCTTGAACCCAGCAGGTAGAGGTTGAAGTGAGCTGAGATCACACCATTGCACTTCAGCCTTGGTGCCAGAGTGAGATTCCGTCTCAAAAAAAAAAAAGAAAAGAAAAGAAATAAAGAGATGGAATTTTCTCCATCTGTTTAGTCACGTCTTAAAAGTTTTGTACCAACAGTCCTGTAATTCCACTTTTAGGAATTTATTACAAGAAAATAATCAAAGATAGAAATGGTCTTTGTTTTTGTGTGTTTTTTGTTTGTCTGTTTGTTTTTTGAGACAGAGTCTCGCTCTGTTGCCAGGCTGGAGTGCAGTGGCACGATCTCAGCTCACTGCAGCCTCTTGCCTTCTGGGTTCAAGCGATTCTCCTGCCTCAGCCTCCCATGTAACTGGGACTGCAGGTGTGTGCCACCAGGCCCGGCTAATTTTTGTATTTTTAGTAGAGACAGGGTTTCACATGTTGGCCAGGATGGTCTCAATCTCTTGACCTCATGATCCACCTGCCTTGGCCTCCCAAAGTGCTGTGATTACAGGCGTGAGCCACCACGCCTGGCTGGTCTTTGTTTTATGTTATATAGTGGAACATTGGAAGTGGTCTAAGGGGCCACCAAGACACAGATAAATAAACCCTTTGGTAGGTTCATTTGAGGGGACGTTAGACAGCCGCTGCTAGTACTTGAAAAAATATGTGACGTGGACCTTATGAAACATGTTTTGAGTAAAGGATATGAATTGTACAGAAATATCCAAGTATCATGCTGAGGACAAAGACTGAAATAAAATATACTATACCGTTAGCCAATTATTGAGAGCAACTGAAGGGGTGGTGTAGGGGATTTTTATTTATTCTTAGTTCCTGAGTATATTTTCTAAATATCCATATATTTTATAGTTAATTTTAAAGCACAAGACTTTTTAAAATATATGAATGTTCTACTTTCAAATACTGTTTCTCTAGGTTTTAGTGAAACATAATCACAGGATTATTAAAATCCAGACTTAATTTTGTAACCAAAACTTAATCAAACACATTAGTATAGAAACAGCATACTGCTTCACCTGAATCGCGTCTCTGTTTTCCTCTATTCCCTAGATATACCCCATGGCTGTGGTGGCAACTGCAGAGAGGGGCCTGATTGTCTATCAGCTAGAGAATCAACCTTCTGAATTCAGGAGGATAGAATCTCCGCTGAAACATCAGGTGCGTCATTAGTCAAATCAAGAAGCATGTATTTAGCACCTGCTGTATGCAAGATTGTGCTCACATCTGGAATACAGTTGTATTTTGAAAAACCTATGAGTATGTTCAAAGGAGGGTGAATTGAAGGATATAAACACAAATACTTAGTGAGTGAATACTAAGTAATACTAAGGTATCCCTGGATGAACTGAACTTACGTCTTCTCCAAACATGCCCCGGATGGCTGAGTGCAACTGAATTGTAGGGACCAAGGGAAAACTTCTCCTTTGCTTTCTGAAGGAGTTTACTGAAAACCAGCTGGCAAAAGACAGATTAATAGGAGAAATGGCATACAAATTTATTGATGTGCACAGCATCTTACAAAGATCTTAAAGGCAGTGTGGTTGATGCTTTCATACCATCTCGAAGTCACAGCAAGAAGGGGGCTCAGGGCATGGCCCAAAACAGGTTCTCATGGTAAATCGGGTTCTCGTGACAAGACAGGTTTTGGGAAGAAGAGAAGAGAAGTTCTGTGGGGCAAAGGTGATCTTGTTAATGTGGAGGAAGCCCCTCAGGCAGCACCCTCGGAGAGGACTGAGATAACGGCATCAGACAGCAGTTAATCTTCCCTGAATCAGTACAAGGGAAGGGCCTCCGAGAAAGCCTGGCTGCACCAATGCCCATTTTTCTCTGCAGATGCAAATCTCCCCACAAAAGATAGCTTTTCAGCTATTATTTCCAGCCCTTCTGAATAGCCATCTTGAAATATGTCAGAGAAGTCTATTTTGGGGCGAAATATTTTGGTTTCCTTGAGAATAAAATTACACATCTGGATGGGTTGGTTCCATTGTAAATTCCTAGCTTCCGACTTCAACTCAGCTTGCATCACACCTAGACAGTTGCTAGCTTTTTCTCCTTCGCTCAGGCCTCCACTTGCCACAGGGCTGCTGGGCCAGCATTCTTGTCAGCTTCTCCATCCTTTAGTCTTTGTCTCAGCCAATCAGATCAGCTCTTGCTTAGAGAAAAAAGAAGCTAATGGGAACTTCCTCCTCTTTCTCCTGCCAGATCTAGAAATTTGTCTGTGCTTGCCTCCTCCCCTGCCTTTTCCCCCATGAGGTGGAAACCGTCCTGCTAAGGCCAGTTTTGTGGTGGGACCCCATGCCCTCCAGACTTCTCGGGAACCGTATGCAGAGTATCACCTCTTTCCCATTCCCCCATCTCTCCTGCCACGTAGTACTTCTCCATTAGCACTGACACTTCCTCAAATCTAGTTGATCCTAGAAAACACACCTCCCTTGACCCCCACATCCTCCTCCAGTACTGCCTGTGTCCCTTTTCCTTCCGCAGTTGGGCATCTTGCCTGAAATGTCCTTTGTTCCCTTACCTCCCACTCATTTCTCACTCGTGAGACCTTTGCCCCTGTTGCTCCATCAGAACGGTTTTTGGCATGACCACTGGTGGCATCCTCATTGGTAATTCCAGGGGACACTGGACAGCCATCCTCTTACTGGAACAGAGCACCACTCACTGTTCTTACGAGACACATTTCCCCAGCTGCTGTCTTGCCAGCCTCTCACCCGCTACCTCTGTGGCTGCTACTCCGTCTTTGCTGGCTCTTGGCTGAATGTGGAGGTTCCACAGATGTCTCCCTAAGCTGCTGCCTCCTCCACCCAAGCACAACTGATCTCCCATCCACTGTCGCTCAGCCACGCCCTGTGGACTGGAGACTCAGACCTCATTTCTGTGCTCCTGACAGGGACACCCAGTCGGACAGCTCCTTGGTGTGTCTCCCAGGCGTCTGAGCCTGCAGTATCCCACGCCAAACCCACGACTACATTCTGTGGCTCTTTATTCAGATGTTACCCTTGCCTCAGGATTCTCCCTTGCCACTGCCAGCAGTACCATCTATTTTATACGTATGTATGGATATCATATACATACTAAATATTTCACTTCTTTTGCCTACTAGAATGTAAACTCCATGAGAGCAGAGATTTTTGTTTGTGTTTGTTGCCACCTCCCAGCACTTGGAGCAGGGCCTCAAGTGTAAAAGATGCTCTGTAAATATTTGCAGAGTGAACATTGGATCTGAACCTGCCCCTCTCGGCCACCACCAGCCTGTTGCTCCTGATGTGCTTCACGGCCCATTCAATGGGACCTCCATCTCCTTTGGTAGAGCCAGAAATCTTGAGGTCACCCCTGATTGAACTCTCCCCCTCCTGTCTCACTAATCCTCAGTCTCCTCCCCTCCACCCTGAAATTATTTGGGAATCTGTTCATTTTTCTCCCTCCCTCCTGCCACATCTAATTCAAATATTGGAAAGCACTTAGATCAGAACTCTATGACATTGGTCTTGGCAGTGATTTATTGGCTATGACACCAAAAAGCACAGGCAACAAAAGCAAAAATGGCCAAGTGGAACTGTGTTAAACTAACAGCTCCTGCACAGCAGAGGGAACCATGAAGAGAGTGAAAAGGCAGCCTGTGGAATGGGAGAAAATATTTGGAGACTATTTCTGACAAGGGATTGATTTCCAGAATACATAAGGAACCCCTACAACTCAATAGCAAGAAAACTGGCGACATGAAAAACGGACCAAAGACTTGAATAGACATGTCTCCAAAGAAGACCTACAAATATCCAGCAGGTGTATGGAAATGTGCTTAACATACTAACCATCAGGGAAAGGCAAACGAAAACCACAATGAGATACCATCTCCTACCTGACAGGACCACTGTTACCAGAAAGCCCAAAGATAGCAAGTGCTGGGGAGGGTGTGGGGAACCTGGAACCCTTGCGCACTATTTGGGGGATGCAAAATGCCACAACCGTTACAGAAAACTGGAGGCCTCAAAACATGAAAAACAGAATCCCCATATGATCTAGCAGTTCCACTTACGGGTCTTGATTCAAAAGAATCAAAATGGGTATTTTGAATAGACCTGAATAGACCTATACTCCTAGCGTTCCTTGCGGCGCTGTTCTCAATAGCCAAGTGAACAGATAAAGAAAATGAGGTGTATACCTGCAGTAGGATGCTGTGCAGCCTGAAGGAGGAAATCCTGCCACTCATGACAGTGTGGGTGACCATGAAGGAGATTATGCAAAGTGAAATAGCCAGACACAGAAAGAAACTGCATGATTTCACTGAAATGTGACATCCGACATAGACTCATGGAAGTAAAGGGTGGAATGGTGGTCATCAGGGGATTGGGGGAGAGGGAAATGGGGAGCTACTTAATCAATGGGATGAAATTTCATTAAGCAAGATGAGAATGCTCTGGAGATATGCCGTACAACATGGTACCTGTAGTCAACAATAACATAGACTTAGAAATGTATTAAGTGGTGGCTCTCGTGTTAACTGTTCTTACCACAATAAAATAAGCACATAGACCTTGGCTCTCGTTCAAAGCATCCTCCCGAGGTGAGGCAGCGGCTCTTGTAAGTGGCACCACTGGCCTTGCCGGACTGCGGCCTAAGCCCTTCCCTGCCTCCCCATTTCTTTTTGGGTGAATCCCCAAAAAACCGGGTCCCATCTGGCTTCACTTCCTGCCACCTGGTGGTAGCGCCCTGGCCTCTCCGTTGTCGAGGACTGGTTGTTGTCGGCCTTTGCACAGGGCCAGTGCGTGTGGCTTCTGGTGCAAGTGGCACCCCTGGCGTTGCGCAGTTCCTGGTGTGTGCCACACAGTAGACCCTGTGCTGAGGACCAGCCATGGCCTTTTCTGTCGTCTAAGAACTTGCAGATGTTTGTCACTTTGCTTTACTTTTTTTCTTTGTACTCACAAAAGTAATGGTCTGGCCATTTTTAAAAAGGTGGGGGAGCAAACAGTACAGCAATGAAAGAGCAGGCCGTTTTCCTTCGTACTTAGGAAACATGCATCCCCAGCAGCTGTCACAACGCCAGAGGCTGCTTCTCCCTTCGTCTTGCCTAGCCCCTGCTTGGGTCCTGCTGGGCTTCCCCTGAACTCACACAGAAGCTCAGATGGCCAGCTCGGGCAGGGCGGGTGGCCCTCCGGGCTTTGGGCAGGTTGCCACGACTGGAAGGAAGAAGTGGTATCTCTGAAGTTAGCTTCTCCTCAGGGTGGTCGGCTTCTGTGCCCAGAAGGCTGGGTAGTGGAACCTCTGGGTTCTTCTGTAGAGTGGAGACCCGCCCTTGGGCCCTCAAACTCAACACTGGGCGAAGTGCAGCATGTTGCTTGTGTGTAGCATGGCCACTGCACCCACTGTCCCCTTCACCCTGTTTCCCTGTGAGTCTGGTGCAGCAGAGCCTGCATCCCTCCTCCAGCTGGGGAGGCAGAGGTGCAGAAGCATCAGGTGACCTCCTGAGGGGTGTCTGCCTAGCCAGGGACGTCTCCATTCCCCACGGGCATTCCGCCTCGCAGCCCATGGGGCTCTGCTGGCATGAACGCAGCCTTGTAGGGTGGCAGAGGGAGAGCGAGCAGTGGAGGCAGGGAGGGGCACGGGGTGTGCAGTTTGGTCCTAAGCTCACGGCTTAGACGGAGTTATTAAGGAGTTAGAAAGCAGTGCTTACTGCTGTATCGTATTTGAGTGATGTTCTTCTGGTTCTTCTCAAACCTAAACATGGGGTAAAAATGACTTACCTTCATGTTAGTCATGAAATCTTATATTACGCTGTGATTATGTCTCTGTTTTGTTTTAACTGTAGCATCGGTGTGTGGCTATTTTTAAAGACAAACAGAACAAGCCTACTGGTTTTGCCCTGGGAAGTATCGAGGGGAGAGTTGCTATTCACTATATCAACCCCCCAAACCCGTAAGTGTGACTCTGTCAGCTTGCAGATTTCACCTGACTTTTTTTTTTAACAAAGGGAGACTTACATGAACCTTTGTTTTTCAGTGCCAAAGATAACTTCACCTTTAAATGTCATCGATCTAATGGAACCAACACTTCAGCTCCTCAAGACATCTATGCGGTACGTTTTTAGACACTTTAACTGTGGTGATACATCTGGAAACCAGACTTGGAGGTGGCTGAGGAGTTGTGGGATCAGAAAAGACTCATCATTGAAGAGCTTGTGTGTGTTCATATCTGGAGATAAGTGGCTTATGCTGTAGGCTTCAGGTTTCTGTGGGTTTTTGTTGTTGTTGTTGTTGTTGCTGTTTTTGAGACAGAGTCTCACTCTGTCGCCCAGGCTGGAGTGCAGTGGCATGATATCAACTCACTGCAACCTCCACCTCCTGGGTTCAAGCGATTCTCCTGCCTCAGCCTCCCAAGTAGCTGGGACTACAGGCGCCCAGCTAATTTTTGTATTTTTAGTAGAGACGGGGTTTCACCATATTGGCCAGGCTGGTGTCGAACTCCTGACCTTGTGATTCGCCCGCCTCGGCCTCCCTAAGTGCTGGAATTACAGGCGTGAGCCACCGCGCCCGGCCTTGTTTTCTGTGTTAATGTGCCCCCGACTAGCAGCGTTGTGTATTTGTTTCTGAACGCAAGCTTAGGATGTTTTGCCGGAGTCTTCTCCCTCCCTTAGGAGTGCTGGTAGACAGCTCACACACAGAGCTCACACTGAGAAATCTTTTGCTCAAAAGAAACGTTTTCCTGAGGTCTGCTCCTTGTTTCTTGCTGTCCACATGCTCACTTTCTCTGGTGTGCAGGCCTTACAGGAGGCAAGATTGGGTTCTGGGCTGGCATTTGATGGAGGAAGTCTGGATAGTTTCTTTTGCGATCAGCGGGCGGCAGCTCGAAGGAAATGTACCTGTGCGCTTTGTTTCCTAACTCAAGCAGGAAGTGTGCGTGGGTGGAACCTTCTCCGCGCCCCTCTGCCTGGCTTCTCATTGTGCATTTACCTTGCAGGTAAATGGAATCGCGTTCCATCCTGTTCATGGCACCCTTGCCACTGTGGGATCTGATGGTAGATTCAGCTTCTGGGACAAAGATGCCAGAACAAAACTAAAAACTTCAGAACAGTTAGATCAGCCCATTTCAGCTTGCTGTTTCAATCACAATGGAAACATATTTGCGTACGCTTCCAGCTACGACTGGTCAAAGGTGAGAACTCCCGGGCGCTCCAAGGTAGTAGAGCCAGGTTCTAGGTTCAGAAGGCCTAGGCCTGAGTTGTGACTCTTCTCAGGACTCACATGTGTCCTTGGGCAGGTCACCGTCCCCTCCCTGTAAGGGGAAATTGCAGGACTTCCTCAAATGGTTGTGGGAATTCAGTACAGCCTTTGGCCAGAACCCAGCACACAGGAAGCACTCAGCCAGTGTGAGCCATTATGGGCTGCTCTGTTCCTGGGCACAGAAGCACAGGCAAGCCGGGGGCTGCACTTCATGAAGGGGGTGGCAGGGCGGGTTGTGGAGCTTTCACCTGGGTGGTGTTGGTTGGTTGGTTAGCTGGGTAGTTTGCACAGGGGGAGTTAGGAGCTGGCAGGAGCGGGGCTGCAATTTTGAGGGCTTTGGGAGTGATGGTGAAATGTGTAGACTCGGGTACTCCATGCCCAGCCCCGTGGGAAGTGTGCTGGCTTTCAGCCAGCCTGCGTCTTTCTCCACTGCTCAGCTCTTCCGGAGAGGTTGTCATCATTCTCCTCCCACCCCACTCTGCCCTTTGCTCCACAGCAGCCTTCTAGACTTTTCCCTACCTACCCTGCCCTGGCTTCCGATGGGGAGGTCGCCTGCTTCACATAGGAGGGGCTTCTAGTGGCCTGCAGTGTCTTTCCCGCTCGCCTCATGTCCACCTGTGCTGACCCCACCTCCTTCCACCCTCACGGCTCTTTTCTGGGCCTTCTCCCCCTGTCTTCTGTCCCCGTTCACCAGCTCCTTCCCGTCTAAGCACGGAAGCCTCGAGGAGCGGTTTCCCTGTATGTTAAGGCTATCGAGAGAGAGTGGTGTCAGCGCCTACCCTCTTGGTTCCCTGTGCTCGGTCTCCTCCTCAGTCCACTGCCAGGTACTTTCTGGCCTCTTAGAGCTGTACACAGAGTCCCCGTGGCCACATTCTCCTTGTCCAGTCCAGAAGCTTCCTTTCTGTCTGTGCCAGGCACTCACCTGCCCTTCTCTTCCACACAGCTTTCCTCGCTACTGCTTGGCCATGTCCTGGTTTATTCTGCTTCGGGCTGTGGTTTCCGTCCTCCTGCCAGCTCCTGTCTCTTGGCCCCTCTTGCCTTGCTGACCTCTCGCCGTCTCAGCCTGGGGGGCCACCACAGGGCTCTAACCAGTGCTTTGCATTCCCAAGACACCTGCTGCCACACAAGCCAGTGACTGGAGACGTCCCTTGGTTCCGGCCCTGGCCACTCCACCTTTAGTATTTCCCAGTCTCAGGAGTATGGCTGCACCTTACCTGAGGCCCTGAACATAGACACAGAAGTCCAGCTGATTGCCTTCCATCCCTCTGACCCTCCAGGCCTGCTGCTGCTTCTGTGCTTCCCCGTTTGAGGGTTTGCTGTGTGAGCCATGCAGCTGCATTTTTTTTAAAGCAACTTTATTGAGGTACAGTTGAAATGCAGTCATTGTTTAAAGTGTACAGTTTGATCAGTTTCAACATCTGTAAATACCCATGAAACTATCACCACAGTTATCTCCCCGAAAGGTTTTTGTGTGTGTTCCTGTAATCTTCCCATACGCACACACAAAACCATGGATCTGTTTTCTGGCATTATGGACTAGTCTGAATATTCTAGAATTTTCTATAAGTGGAGCCCTACACTACACTTTCCCCTTGCCCCAGCTCCTTTCCCTCAGCATAAGGATTTTGAAATTCACCCGTGCTGTTGAGTGAATCACTCGTCTGTTACTTTTCAGTGCTGCATAGTATTCCCAGGTAGGGTGTGCCATTTGTTTATCCATTCACCTGTGTAAGCCATGCACTCAGTTTTGTGACGAGTATACTTTTTTGGTTCTCCCTGGCTGAGGTTGGACAGGCTGTGGCATGCGTGGAGCCCGAGGCCTCAACTCCCACATTGGGCTCTTTACTGAATCTTCTCTTTGCGTCCTTGTCCCAGCAGCTGCATCAAAATTCTGTATTTTAACCTAAATGACACGCGGGACTCTATACATTATAAGCATTAAAAAACGTAGTAATAAATTGAAAGCAGTGAGAAAGGTAATTGCTTTGAGTGCTGTTTAAAAATTGAAATAATCTAATTCATTTAAGCAATTAATGTCAGCTTATTGTGGAGGTTACATAAATTAGAATCTCTTTAGTTTAAAAGAGAAATTTGCTTCAGGGATTTTTCATTGCTCTTAGTTCAAGGACAGTTATCTCTAGTGCAAAGTCATGATCACATATGATTGATGTTATTAGCTTGCTGCTTGAGTAACCGTTCAGAAAAACTACACTTTGTATATTATGAGAATTAGTGGTCACTGTTGAGCAAAACTTCTAGAGCTTTCTTGGTGTGCCTGTTGGGAAGAGAATAAAAACGTGTCATCACAGTACAGGTGGCAGAGTGCACCCGGCACCATGCCCCACCTCCGTCTTCCAGGTCTTTGGCCCACCTGTGGCTCCTGCCTGCTGTCTTTCTTCCAGATCATCTGCCTGGCCCACCCCACTCGCCTCTCTTCCTAAAACTGAAATGTGATCACATCACTGACCTGCCTATGGCCTCCTTTTTCCTGGGGAATAACATTCAAAGGCCTCCCTCTGCCGTTCACAGCCCTGTAGTATGGCCTCATCCTGATTTCAGGGGTCTTTCGATGCTATATAGCCCTGCATCCCCTCCAGTGTGGGCCTGGGCAGACATGCACACCTCTGCACACGCCTCTGGATCACTCGCCACCATGCATGCCTCTGCTGCGCTCTGTGTCTGTCGCTCCTTCTGTGTGGGGCGGGATGTCCTTCATCCCCATGATACTCGCAGGTCAGATGTCCTCCTTTCCGTGAAACATTCTCAGGTCAGAGCTAATGCTGAGCAAGGGGCCCAAGGCAGTTATCTTGGTGTTAAAGTCCTGGGGTGTTAAAAGGGGGCTCAGTGTCGAAAACACGAACCTGTGAAGACTCTCTCAGCAGGACATGGATGACACACTGGTACCAACACGTCCTTAGGCCTTTCTCTGAGGACTGAAGTTTTGCTTCACATTTAACTTTATCTTTGTTGTTTTATTTCTCTGAGAGATTATGCTTCCAGTATTGTAGCACAGGACTTCACCTAGAAAAAGCACCTACAAACGCTTTCAGTTGAATAATAAGATCATTGGTGTTTTTTGTTCTCTTTAGGGACATGAATTTTATAATCCCCAGAAAAAAAATTACATTTTCCTGCGTAATGCAGCCGAAGAGCTAAAGCCCCGGAATAAGAAGTAGTGGCTGGAGACTCTGGCCCGGCCAGAGTTGTTCTCTCCACTCCGCCTCATCTCTATACGAATTTGGGTCCCAGCCTTGTTGGGTTGTCAGCCATGGACATGGATTTCAACCCCTGGAGAAAACGATGTCATTGTTGAGCAGCCGAGAGCCCAGGCGTCCGCGGCGACTTGCCGTCTCTCCATTCCACTGCCTGTTGCAGAGTTTTTCTCTAACTCTAAGGGGGTTGAGGTTACTATAGACGTTAGATTGCGGGCACCGCCAGGGATTTTGCAGTGCTTCAGTGTACGTGTTAGAGAATATTGGCCAAGCGTCTGTGAGCCCCGTGCTGTATTTTGTAATAAAGTCTTTTGCAGATTGCTTTCCGAGCTTCCTTTGTCCTTTTCTCCCCTTTCCCACCCTGTAACCAGGAACGTGCGTCCTGCCCAGCATCAGCGTGGGGTTTTGAGTTGAGATTTCAGACAACCTCTGGGAAACGCAGCAACCTTAGGGGAAAGGGGTTCCCCAGCTGCGCTCACTTCTGCCACGCGGAGCGGCAGCCTCTGTGAGCCCTGGTGGGAAGAGTTTGAATGTGTTTTTCCTAGCTTCCCTCATTCCCATTTTCAACATCCCCAGTGCTTTCTGGCCCTGCTGCTCAGATTTCCGAGTGACTCAAATGGGGACCGTTACTTGTGCTGGGTGACAGGCCATTTGTGGGTGACACTTGTGTGACTTTCAAGTTAGAACCCAGGTCCCCTGCATGGGAATTGCCCTGAACTCATACCCTCGGTAGTGGTTGGTTGGCTGTTGCTTTTGTATATTGTGTAATTTAAAATTCCTGGTTGGTAAGTATTCAAAGTGAAATTCAGCTTACCGTGTGATTTTTGGGTCTATCACTGTATTTTTCACCTGTGATCTCAAATGCTTCTTAGGCCTTCCTGTTTGGACTAATGTGTGAAGTCTGACTTGCTGAGTGTGAAATTCTAGTATTGATAATGTTGTAAGATGTGTTTGCCTACTCATAAAAAACAATGAAAATAAAATTTTCTACTAGAAGAGACCATCTGCACTCTGGTTTAAATTCTTTGGTAGGTCACAAATGAATTCAGACCCACTTGCTCTCCAGCCCTATTTTTTAGCCTAAAAACTTATTTTTTAGAGATAAAAAGGCAGGTGCACTAGAAAAATATCTGAATTTTCAGGTTAACCGTTTCCAGCTCATTTTTCTCTTCACTTTATGAATCAGACCTGTGGTCTTATCAACGTGGGGAAGATGTAGCTAGCAAGTAGAAGACTGCTGTGAGGGGAGATTGAAGCTTGATTATCTCAGCAGCCAACTTTCATATGAGGGGGAATAGACTTGTCAGCTTTAGCTTAGCCAGAGTTTCATTGTTTTTGCCAGCCCTAGTGACAGGCTAGGGTGGAAAATGAGTCTAAATTGCAGGCCTTTTAGAGTATGCTTTCCCAGGATGGGACCTTGCCACCTCCCTAAGGGGACAGTTTTTGTAATTGGCAAATATAAAATATTTGCATAAGTCCAAGATTGGACTTGGGGCTGTCAGAACCTTGGGTCAGGGGGCTATTCGCTGCCACCAGGATGTGAGCCCTAGATGAGGCCAAGACTCATTTCTTCGCTGCCCAGGACCCAAAGCTTTAGCACACCATATTTGCTAATGAGGATCTAGGAAATATTCACTGAGATCATTAAGCTTCTTAAAATATTTGTTTTCATGTTTCCTAAAATGCATATGAAGACTTAGAGGAACTCTTCATCTTAAACGTCAGCATCTCTACAGTCACCTGTAAGTTGCATGCAGTAGGTGCTCATTAAGTATTCATAAGTTTGATGGCATCTTCTAGTTCAAAGATATACTAGTGTAATCGTGGCTCTTTGTTTTAATAAATGTCAAGTCATCCTGCCATTAAATATTTACTGCACACCCTGTTAGAAACAGCTGCTTTCACTGAAAGTAAAGTATATAAACCTCATGGAGAAGACAAATTGTGTTCTTTCACTTAGTTTTTTCCAACACATGAAAATTTTAAAACATACAAGAAAGTGGAAAGGGTTTTGGCAATGAACATACACCTGCCATCTGCCGGCCACCAGGATGCCACCGTGAACGCTGACCTTTCCCTTGATTTTCTGCTTGGTTTTGCCTGGCTTTCCTCCCACTCTTTGGTGTAACATCACTTCCCTGGTTCCTCACTGTGGGAACAGGGCCTGGTGGGAAGAACTTTGTATAAAGATGCTGCTGAAACAAGGTGGCAGGGATTTAGGGTGGGTACAGGAAGGAGCACTTGGTTCCTGTCATGTTTGGTTGGAAGCAGGATGGAGCTGTGATGGATGTGTGTGAGACACCGGTCTGGTCTGTAAGCCTGTGCTCACGTGTGTGCACACGTGCATGTAAGCCTGCCTGTGAAAACCCTCTCAGTCAAAGGCGCCGACTGAACCCACCTGCCTCACCCCATTTTCGGGTTAGCTTCATGCCAGAGGATCCTCTGGTAGAGGGAGAACAAAGGATGCAGCAAGTGCCTGGCCTGCTGGCAGTGAGCTCTCTGGCTTTCACCAGAAAATAACTACCAGGAGAAAGTAAACAGCAAGGGCCAGATGCGGTGGCTCACGCCTGGAATCTCAACACTTGGGGAGGCCAAGGCGGGAGGATCACTTCGAGGCCAGGAGTTCTAGACCAGCCTGGGCAACAAAGCAAGACCCTGTCTCAAAAAAATTTGTTTGAGTCATGTAGGAAATTTTTGTTTTTCTCATTCAACCAAAATTTTAGTCTCTTTTGAAGGAGAGACTCTAAAACATGAACTAAACACGTTCTTGAACACGCAGGAGCACCTAAGCCAGCCTTTTCCAGATTCACTCGTGACCCCTTCGTAGGTTGTGAAATGAATGTAGTTGTCGCAATGAGCATTTCTTTTAGTGAAGCCACAAAAAATTACAGAATATATGTATGTATTACCTATTTTAATATCCTGGGGTGTGATTTTTCTCTGTTCCTGTCACTTTTTATATGGTTTAGGATGAGTTCTTAGCTTTGGTGACCTCAAGTACTAGCCGTAACTGCACTTGAGGTCTCTTGAAATAACCATATAACATTGCAATTGACATGGGGCTGGGTGCGGTGGCTCATGCCTGTAATCCCAGCGCTTTGGGAGGCCGAGGCAGGCGGGCCACTTGAGGCCCGGAGTTCCAGACCAGCCTGGCCAACAAGTCAAAACCCAGCTCTACTAAAAATAGAAAAACTCGCTGGGCATGGTGGCACATGCCTGTAATCCCGGCTGCTGGGGAGACTGAGGCATGAGAATTGCCTGAGTGCTTGAGCCTGGGAGGCGGAGGTTGCAGTGAGCCTAGATCTCGACAGAGCCTGTCTGAAAATACAAACGTGCTTAGCATTGGACTGCCCACCTTCAGTTCCAACTCTGTCACCAACTTTGCTAACATGTGATTTACTCTTTGTTTAAGCATGTGATTTAAACCTCTGAGCCTCAGTGACCTCATCTGTAAAATGGGAGACATTAAAAGCTATCAGAATGGTTGTGTGAGTAGTCAAAGTGTAAAAGTGCCCCCGTGGCTGGCCTGTGATGTAGAGTTTAGATGTAGCTGCTACTGTAAGTGCCAATGAGGATGACGTCCATGAGAAGTCTCCTGCTCAGTGGGGCTGTGCTGTCAGTATACAGGCGGGACAAAAAGGTCCAGAGACCAAGCTGACTGGAGATCCTGCTTGTCTCTTAAGGTTCTTTCCCCGGGAGCCGGGTGTTGTGCTTAGGTCTGGCCAGCAGATGGCGCGAATGGCCTCAGTGCCAACATTGGAGCATTTGCTCTGTGTTCAATTTCACAGACTTTAGTTCATTAAAAGAAACGAAGTGTTGGCCACCCCCTTCATTTGCTGTTGCTAAATTTTTTTTTTTTTTTTTTTTTTAATTTGAGACAGAGTCTCGCTCTGTCACCCAGGCTGGAGTGCAGTGGCGCGATCTCAGCTCACTGCAAGCTCTGCCTCCCGGGTTCACGCCATTCTCCTGCCTCAGGCTCTCCCAGTAGCTGGGACTACAGGCGCCCGCCACCTCGCCCGGCTGATTTTTTGTATTTTTAGTAGAGACGGGGTTTCACCGTGTTAACCAGGATGGTCTCGATCTCCTGACCTCGTGATCTGCTCTCCTCAGCTTCCCAAAGTGCTGGGATTACAGGCATGAGCCACCGTGCCCTGCCTGTTGCTGCTAAGCTTTTAAGATATTTGGGAAGTAGAATCAAAACATTGCTCTTGCTGTTAGAAGAATCGTCTTAAAAATAACACTTTATAGGAAGATTGAAGGCCTCCTTGGAAAATGCTAAAGGAGGTAATTTGTCAGAGGTGAGACCCTGATTTTTCTGTTTCAAACTTAATGTCCGCGATGGTTTCCTCGTGGAACGCTGAAGCCTTGGCGCCCGCGATGCGGGGGCCTCTGAGCACTGCTGAGCTCCAAAGCATCATCCCTGCCCTGATTTGGGAAACACAAATCCCTGGTGGTGGCAAACAGGTCACTTTAAGACGCGTGTTAGTAACTTTGAAGGCTCTGTGGCCCATTGGAATTGAGATGTAAACCTAAAACAGCAGATTTCAAAGGCTTAGTGCCAAAAAAAAAAAAAATGAACTAAACACATGCTCTTGAAATTAATGTAAATGCCATTAATTTTCATACCAATTACACATTCAAATGATACTATTTTGGATAATAAATTTAACTTTCCCCTGCTTGTAATGTTAAAATGTGGCTACTGGAAAATTGTAGATTACATTCGTGGCTCATGTTATATTCATCTTTCTCTGGGACATCACTTCACTAGGTCCTCTGAGGTGTCACCCACCACTCCACACCAAATATTAAAATGCACCCACATCCTGCTTTAAATCACATTGTTTTAAAGGCAAATTCTTTGAAAAAAATTTCATATTTTACTTCTGAAATGATTTGGCAGTAAGTTAGCATGTACTTCATGTTGATTTTTTAATCATCACCTCAAATACTAGGGAATTTCTCACAAAGTGCAGCATTTCCTACAAAGCTATAAATTGTTTTCAAATCGATTGGATATTGGAACACTAAACAGTTTGTGAGGTCTCCAGTATTACATTTGTAGGCCTTTACTTAAACGGATTCATTTGGGGATTTTTCTTGTTTGTTTTTAGGTGTTTTGGCGGGGAGGATAGCATCTTGCTGCATTGCCCAGGCTGGAGTGCAGTGGTGCGATCTCGGCTCACTGCAGCCTCTGCCTCTCGGGCTCAAGAGTTCCTCCCACCTCAGTCTCCTGAGTAGCTGAGATTACAAGTGCATGCGTGCCACCACACCAGGCTCTTTTTTTTTTTTTTTTTTTTTGTATTTTTGGTAGAGACAGGGTTTTGCTATGTGTGCCCAGGCTGGTCTCAAACTCCTGGGCTCAAGCAGTCCTCCCGCCTCGGCCTCCCAAAGTGCTGGTATTACAGGCATAAGCAACCACACCCAGCCTGCGGTTGTTGTTTTTAAATATCTTAAAGCCAGTTCTCTTTTTCTTTCTCCCTTTCTACCTCGCTCCAACATTTTCGTAGGCTCTTAAGAAGCTGTATAAGCCCCAACATAAGGCCTGGCTATAGTGTTTAGAAAAGGCAGTTTCAACACAAGCATTGTATTTCCTTGCAAGGTACTGTCCTGTTAATCAGAGACTGGCACTGTTTCACAGCTCTGCGAGGTCTTCCTCCTAACTGCGGTTCCCCTGTTTCACGGCCCACATTTATCCCATGGAGATGGGAGACGTCAGGAGAGGTTGTGGCTGCAACTTTGAGGGTTTTATTATGACAGGTGTCAGGTCACTGTAAGGCAAATATGGGCAGTGTAGATAGTTTCATAGCTGACTGTGTGAGTTTTTACACCACTTTATTGAAGTGTGACTGACACATAAAAGGCTGTACGTATTTAATGTATACAACTTGATGCGTTTGGCGATAAACATACACCCATGGAACCATCACCACAGTCTAAGAGCCTATTGTGAATTTTGCATCAATCTATTGAGAAATACTTTAAGGTGAGG